AGACTCCTTAGAGACTCAGTACCCAGGAAAGAATGATGAACAGGGAGACATTAGCTCTGAGTTTTATCCCTAGTTCTGCCATTTGCTGTTTCTGTGATAGAAATAGATTTAGAAATAGAAATCTCTATCTGATAGAAATAATTTCACCTTGCTGAGTCTCACTCAGTTTCCTCATCTGTCCAATGGGAATAATAATGTCTGCCTTACCTACTATAGTGAGGATCAAATGAGATTATGTGAAAGTACTTTACAATTCTATTACAAATTTAAGAGATTAATGGGCATAATAATAATGTCACAGCTTTTCTTTAGTTCCCTCTTACTGCTTTCTCTGAAAACAACTAGAGTATCAGAACAGAATTTCTGGGTTCTAGAGCTCCTCTTCCCCTTCCTCTGACAAGTATCATTAGGTTCCTGGCTCCTGAATTTGTCCCTGTCAGAGCTGGGGAGTGGGATGGAGTGGGTAGGGAACACAGTTTCTCTACAGAGGGAATTGGGACAGTGTTGTCTGGCAAGGAATGTGCCACTGGGTGTGAGAGAGCCGACTTGGAAGGATCAGTGCTAATCTGAAATGTGGAAGATCTGTACTTTAGGGTAGAGAAGTCAAACTCTTGGCTTCCAGACCTCAAAACACCTGAGTGTGACAGGAATCAGATTAAAATGTAATTGGGAAATGTTTAACAAATAACTAAAAATATAATTCAACACAGATAATGTGAATTTGTGGTTTTCTAAGTTACTATATATTCAGCTGGCAGGGACCCATTTCTATTTTAGTTTGATACCACTGTTCTAAGGGATTCCCCAGTTTTCTTGACATGGGATCATAGAAATGGTTCCCCCAGACCTAGGAACATTCAGCATAGCACATATCCACCCCTACTCAAAAAGCCTGTCAAGGTTGGTAGGACTTGTCTGAGCTTATAATCTTGGCAACTCAGGTCTCTCCTCCTTACCAAAGCAACAGTCAGATTCTAGAGCAGGGCTTCCTAAATTTTTTCCACCCATGACCCTTTTTTGCCTGAGAAATTTTTACGTGACCCTGGGTATATAGGTATATAAACTAGGCATAATATCAAACATTTAATGATAATAAATCATAAAGAAATTTATTTTCAAACAATTCTTTGGTATACATATAATTTTACCATTTATTAAAGATGAAAACAAATTTGCATACTAATGAGGTAGATGTGCTTATTTATTTTTACATAAAGAATTAAACCTTGGTGGAATATTTGATACTGCAGGATGGAGAGCATTTTTAACATTTTTGAGAGTTGATTGATATTTTGATTTTATAATCGTCGATGTTGAGAATGCCTTTTTGCATAAATGCATAGTACAAAATGGCAGAAGTATGTTTGGGGCCATTTCAGAAATTGTTGGAAATTCTATCTTAATCCCAAGTCAAAATTCATCTAAAGATTTTTTAGGAAACTCAAGTTTTAAACCTGCATTGCTTGATAAGTTGGAAAATTCTTCTTGAACTTTTAATGGCAAATGACTGACATTTTTTATTTCAGTTGAGTATGGTTTATGAACCCAAATTAGTTTTTTAGAATCAAAATTTGAAGGGAAGTATTTCTGAAGCTGTGTCGCCACGCACTTCTGATGATCAATTATAACTTTTATAGTTAAATCTTTGGGAAGGTTATTTTCTATTATAAAATCATCTGTAGCTGCAAACATTTTTAGAGAACCATTTTCTGGGGTAGCTAGGTGGCACAGTGGATAGAGCACTGGCCCTGGATTCAGGAGGACCTGAGTTCAAATTGGGCCTCAGACACATAACACTTACTAGCTGTTTGACCCTGGGCAAGTTACTTAACCCTTTTGTCCAAAAAAAGAATAAGAACCATTTTCTACCCTATTCTTCCATATGTTAACTTTTTTAGTAAAACTTTCAATTTGATCTTTTAACATCAATGTTACAAGTGAAGACCTTGTCACATTGTCATTAGTTTTTTATCCCTTCTATTTAAATTTAGCCACTCATCCATACCCAAAAAATATTTTTGTCCTAAAATATAAAAAAAATTGGTAATAATTTCTCAAATAAATACTAGCTTTGGTTTATGAAATTACATTTATTTGTACTTAGTTTAAAAAATTGATATTTATACTTACATACACATACAATGATGATGGTGGAGAAATATTATTAAAAGGCTTTTGTCTTTACTTGCTGCAATTAAACATTTACATTTCTATAAAAGAAGCAGATAAGAATGATTTTTTTTTTTTGTGAGGCAATCAGGGTTAAGTGACTTGCCCACAGTTACATAGCTAGTAAGTATTAAGTGTCTGAGGCTGAATTTGAACTCAGGTCCTCTATCCACTGCACCACCTAGCTTCCCCAATAACAATTTTAAAAATCAAACATTCTAACACAATACAATCCAGAGATATACTAATTTGATAAATACGTGCTGAGTAATGATGGTAGGAAAATATTAAAAGTCTTTGTTTCCCATAATTAAACTATTATGTTTCTGTAAGAGCAGAAAACTTTGTATATGCAGTAAAAAAAAACCCACTGCAATTCATAACATACAACAGTCTTGAATCTGAGCCAAGGTGTTTCTGACAGTGTTCATTGGCTTTGCACGGTGTGATGGCAGGCATAGTGCAAAGTGTGTATGTTGTGTGTTCAGAACCAAGGCTGCAGTGAAGTTGCGAGATGCAGCATGGGCAAACACTACCAGAAACACCTTGGATTCATTACGCGTTTGATTTTGGATTAATCTTTGGTCATTGCATGTTCAGAAATCTTTTACTGTTGCCAAATTTTTCATGACCCCCACATTCAGTTACATGACCCCATATGGGCTTGCTACCCACAGTTTAAGAAGCACTGTTCTAAAGCAGGAGTGAGTAGACACATTTCATTTACAATTAGCTCATTAGTTGTGTGATGGGTTGAGTTCTAAAAAGCAATTTCTAGGCAGAATGTTTAACTTAAAAGAAAATAATTCTTATTTCTACGATTGATGAGCTTATGAAACACTTGGCACACTGGGTGTAGGGAAACTTCAACCCAGAGACTGCCAGTCGATGGTGAATATTGGTCTGACTCCCTGAGATTTTACTCTGCAAGTTGACAGCGTTGGCTCTCCGTGGCCAGGAATGGGTGCTTCTGTGGAGAAGAGGCAGGTCCCAGGTCTTTGACTAATTTTAATTCTTCTTGTTGGGGTTGTACTGAAGCCAAGTCCAGTTCTTGTGCATTAGCTCATCCTGACAAGCTGAAGTCTTAGGATGGACAATTTGTCAAGATCAGGCTCTTACTATCCTCAGATCTCCTTAGCACCATATTGAGTAGTCACAATCTGCTTAGTGCTACCCCTTGAATACTACTCCTACATCCAGAGAAGAAATAGGATCGAGGGATCGCAGATTTACAACTGGAAGGGACCTTAGATGTCATCTAATCCAACACCTTTGTTTTGATTATTTATTTACTTATTTTTCTTTTGAAAACAGAAACAAAAATGTGCACTTATTTTTTCTCCCTCCCAACCACCTCCTTAGAAAGAAAAACATAACAAAAGTGCATACTCAAGCAAAACAAAATCTGGCATTGGCCAGCTCCAAAAATCTATGTCTTGTTCTGCATCTTAAGTCCATCACTTCTCTGTCAGGAGGTGGGCAGCATGCTTCATCATCAGTCCTCTGGGACTGTCAACCCCTTCATTCTACAGATGAGGAAACTGTGTTTCCTAATGTCAAGAGCCAATAAGTGGCACATGTAGGAATTCATTCTCCTTTCTATCTTCTGCTGTCCCTGGTCTGTTGGTGGACATTCAGGGGTAGACAATTGTACAACTCCTGGATAAGCTTCTTTTCCCTCTTTAGGGAGACAAGAATTGAGAGGTATCCAAGGGACCTGAACATAGTCACAGTATCAGCTCAGACAAGCCAAGAGGGGAGAACTCTCCTCAATAAGGGATTTGTTCCAAATGGATTTGTTGAGGGTTACAAGGGCAGAGTTTTCCATTTAGGAAGCAGATTCCTCCAAGCTCTGGACTCACCAGCTTCTGGGCAAAACAAGTACTTTTGAGAAGGGAATAAAGGAATATGACATCTACTATGGAGGTGTACGGATGTTCCAAGAGGACTAGCACCTCTGGTGTGAGGAATTGCTGAACCCTTTTCAGAGCTGCTCATCCACCTTTGGTGTCCACCTGGCACTCAGCTCTCACCTGTGGCTCCCAGAAGCTGTAGCATATACAGTGGCCACCTTTCTGTAAACCATCTCTGCAGAAAGGCTAAACCAGGTTGAGGGTAACTCTCAGGCCTCAAACCCATCAGTAAGTTAGTAGGAAGTATGTGAAGACTTTCCCTATGAAATGGCCAGATGAGAACAATTTGTTCCAAAGGCCAAGAAGGCAGCTGAAGCAGGTGCTGTGGAGCACTCAGAGCTTGGTCAGACGTCCAAGATGGCGTAGTCATCCACTGCATTCCAGACCATCATCAGTCATCTTGACTTTTGTCCTGCCACTGGACTTACGGGACTCTGGAAGAGAGAGTGAGGCTGATGACTTGGTGAAGCTCTGTTTCACTTAAATCCAATTCAAGAGCAAGTCAAGACATCACCTCTTGATGTCATCAGTCCTCTTTGAGAACAAAGAGCAAACAACAACTATGTGCCAGGCACTGGCAGAGGGAGAGTAGCTATTTATTCAGTGACCATCCTCACCTGCAAACGGGCAAAGAGGGCTCCTATCTCCTAAGGAGTGGTGCTCTTTTTTTTTTTTTAATTATTTATTTTTAAAATTCGTTAAAAAGATTTTTGGAGTTCCCAATTCTCTCCCTCCAGCCCCTCCCCCACCCATTGAGAAGGCAAGCAATGTGATACAATTATATATGTGAAGTCATGCAAAACATTTAGGAATGATTATCTAAGGCAGATATGTCTCACCATGATGGCAGGTGGACATGCGTGTGGCCTTTCCAGTACAGTTAATGGATTATGGTTCCTGACTCTTTTCTCCCTACAGGTTTCCAGCAGATTGCTCAGAACAAGGTGGCTGTCCTGCTACTTGCTGGGGGGCAGGCACTCGCCTGGGAGTGACCTACCCCAAAGGCATGTACCGAGTGGGCTTGCCTAGTGGGAAGACACTGTATGAGCTCCAGGCTGAGCGAATCCGCCGAGTGGAGCAGCTGGCTGGCCATAGACACAACACACACTGCACTGTTCCCTGGTGGGTTTCCCTGTTCTTTGCCATCTCGATTTTTTTTCTTCTTCCTTTCTCTTCCCCTTTCTCTCCTATCCCTCCTGGAGCAACCCCTCTCTTTGGGATGCAGAGAGATGACCGTTATCCCTGGGGCTAAAGTTTCCGCATTCTAAAGGGACTGAGAATATTTTTTTATCTGTAGTGTTTAGTCCATATGCTTTGCTGAGACTCATTGCTTACCCCTACCCCCAATATATCCATTGTTCCTTTGACTGGTCCCTGTTTTTAGCTTCAAGTGAATAGTTCTTTCCTCTTCCATTTTTCTGGGATATGGCCTGTTTATCCCACTCAACCTCCTCTCCTCTTCCTCTAGGTACATCATGACCAGTGAGTTCACTCTGAAGCCAACAGTTGAGTTTTTTAAGGAAAACAACTTCTTTCAGCTGGACCCAGCCAAGTGATCATGTTTGAGCAGAGGATGTTACCAGCTGTGAACTTCAATGGCCAGGCCATCTTGGAGAGAAAGGACAAGGTTGCAATGGCTCCAGGTGTGCTACCTGGGCCTGTTTTCTGGGTGCTTTGCTGTCCAAGGAAGATTAAAGGAAGGAGATAGGGACAGAGATTTAAGTCAGGAATCAGGAGACCTGGAACCTGGTTTATTTGTTTGTTCATTGTACTGTTTGAAAAGTGCTTAGTGTATCGATATCACTATTCTCTGTGCAGGGGAAGAAAAAGTTGAGGTAAGACATAGTCCTTACCCTGTTGGAGTTTTATAGTCTACTAGAAATGAATCAGACAAAAACATTGTAATGCAGAATATTAAGCAGTAAATTAATCTGAGAGGTAAAAAACAAAGTGTTATGTAAGATTCCATCCTACTAATAACTTTTGTGACCATGAACAAGCTGTTAAATGTCTCTGATCATTGGTTTTATCATCAATCCAGGAGGGGTATTAATACTAGTCACATCTTCCAAAGTTAGAATGAGGATAGCAGGGACAGTGTAAGCACCTGAGCCTGCAGCCAGTCCCAGGAGGCGCTGCTGGTGGTTGGGCTATGGGGTCTAGCTCAGGAGACCCTTTGGAGTTAGAGTTTGGCTGCAGTGATGTAGGCTTCATGCTTTTGCTTCACGATGGGAGGATAACTCAAGGTAGCATTCCTGGTGGGGGCCTTGGGCTTAGCTTAGGATCATTAGTGCTCATTCCTGTTGCTCTTAGCCTGAGTGAAGGCTGCCAGATACCTCTCTTGCGGTGTGTCCTCTTCCCTCTCTTCCTTTTTTGTATTTAGATGGAAATGGTGGTCTGTACCGAGCCCTGATGGACAATGGAATTTTGGAAGACATGGAGCACCGTGGAGTAGAGTACGTCCATGTGTACTGTGTGGACAATATTCTTGTTAAAATGGCTGATCCCATCTTCATTGGATTCTGTGTGCTGAAAGGTGCAGACTGTGGGGCTAAGGTCAGCAGGCTCTTTTTACCCTGGTTAGATATTCCCCCCAAGCCATATGTAGATCTTTATCTAACCTGGACCCTAATTCTGGTTCCTGGACTTTTTTGTTTGTTTGTTTGTTTGTTTTTAGGCAATTGGGGTTAAGTGACTTGCCCAGGGTCACATGGCTAATGAATGGCAAGTGTTTGGTCTGAGGCTGGATTTGAACTCAGGTCCTCCTGATTTCAAGGCTGGTACTCTATCCACTGCGCCACCTAGCTGCCCCGTTCCTGGACTATTTTTATAGAATCAAAAGATTTAGAGCTGAAAGACACCCAAGAGACCATCTATTCCAACCCTCTCAGTTCAACCCAGAGAAATGAATATGAACTTGCCTAAAGTGACACGGAACTGGACAGATTGAGGATTTGAACCCAAATCTTCTGCCTCTTAAGTCCAGGGTTATTTACTCCATTGTACTCTAGTTCCTTTCATCTGGTTGTTTGATTTTCCTGCAGTCAGAATATCTTAGCATCTGGGAGGGAATGTGACCAGGATTGACTGCCCCTGAGGATCAGCCTATGGGTGCTATAGGGATACAGGGAAGAGAATCCCATTGTCCACTGGTGTCTAGGAATAATTGGCTTCCTGACGCCTATCCTCTTTTCCCTATAATTTGTCTGTAGGTAGTGGAGAAGGCCTACCCCACAGAGCCTGTGGGTGTGGTATGCCAGGTGGATGGCATTTACCAGGTGGTAGAGTACAGTGAGGTGGACCTGGAGACAGTACAGCGTCAGGATGAGAGCGGGAATCTGGTCTTCAATGCAGGCAACATCTGCAACCACTTCTTCACTCGGAGCTTCCTCCAGACCATTACCCGGTGAGCTTTCCTATCTCAAGCTAGTGGTCACTGACGTGGGCCTCTAGGAGTCTCTGTATGGACAGTGTCTTTGTCAAAACGACCGACTCTTTTCATTGGATTTTGTGGGCGGCAGGGTATGGAATCCACTATGTGTTAGGCGCTGTATTAAGCACTTTAGATAAAAAAAAAAAAGGCAAAAGACAGTCCCTGTTCCTAAGGAGCTCAAAGTCTGATAGAGAAAATGTTTGAGTAACTATGCATAAGCAAGCTATGAGGATAAATTGAAAATAATCAGCAGAGGGAAGGGAAGGCTTGCTGTAGAAGATGGAATTTTAGCTAGAACTTGAAGAAACCCAGGGAAGCCAGGAGGTGGGGATGAGAAAGGAGAGCATTCCAGGCATGGGGGACAGCCAGAGAATATGCCTGGAGGCTAGTGATGGAGTGTCTTGTACAAAGAACATCAAGGAGACCAGTGTCACTGGATTGCAAAGTATGTGAGAGGTGGTAAGACTGGAAAGGGACGGGGAATGGGTTTTGAAGGGCTTTGAATACTAATCAGATTTTATATTTGATTTTGGAGATGATAGGGAGCCACTGGAGTTTATACTAAGAGTGAGGGTAGGTGAGGGGGACAGGTGCATTTTGTTTTATGTGACATGATCAGGCCTGAGCTTTAGGATCACTTTGACAGCTTAATGGAGGATGAATTAGAGTGGGGAGAGACGTGTGGCAGGCTGACCAACCAGCAGGCTATTGTAATAGTCCAGCTGTGAGGTAACAGGATGGTGATAGTGTCAGAGGTGAGAAGGAGGAATATGATAGAGATGTTGTGAAGGAAGAAATGACTGGTCTTTGCAACAGATTAAATATGAGGAGTGAGAGAGAGTGAAGAGTGGAGGATGACATCTAGGTTGTAAGCCCTGGTCACCAGGAGGATGGTGATACTCTTAATAGTAATAGAGGAAGTTAGGAAGGTGAGAGGGTTTAGGAGGAAAGATAATGAGTTTAGTTTCGGACATGTTGAGTTTTAGGATATCTGTGGGAAATCCAGTTTGAAAGGTCCAATAGGCAGATACCAGTTGGAGATGCCAAACTGGAAATCAGCAGAGGGGTTAGGACTGGACAAATAGATTTGAGAATTGTCAGCATAGATATGATCGTTGAATCCATGGGAGCTGATGAAATCACCATGTAAAATAGATGGAGGACAAAGCCGTGTGGGATACCCACTATTAGTGGGTATGACTTGGATGAAAATATATAGCAAAGAAGATTGAGGAATGGTCAGATAACCTAGTATAGCTTTCCTCCATTGTACTCTAGTCCCTTTTACCTGATTGTTTGATTTTCCTACAGTCAGAATATCTTAGTATCTAGGAAGGAACGTGACCAGGATCTGACTGCCCCTGAAGATCAGCTTGTGGGGTCTATAGGGATACAGAGAAGGGAATCCCATTATCCACTGGTCTCTAGGGATAATTCGATTCCAGATTCCTATCCTCTTCTTCCTATAATTTGTCTGTAGATAGTGGAGAAGGCCTATCCCACAGAGCCTGTGGGTGTGGTATGCCAGGTGGATGGCATTTACCTATAGGATACCTATTGGTAGGAGGAAAGAGCAGTGTCATGAAAACCCAGAGAGAAGAAAGTATCAAAAGAAAGAGGGTGATCAACAATGTCAAAAGCTGCAGAGAGGTCAAGAATGATGAGGATTGAGAAAAGGCCATCATCATTAGTAACATTGGCGAGAGCAGGGCTGAATGATGAAGTTGGAAGCAAAACTATAGAGAGTTAAGAAGAGAATGAGAGGAGAGGAAATGGAGGCACCTCTTATAGATGGCATTCTCAAGGAGGTTTGCTTTAGTGTCCCAGAGCCCAGTTCTTCCCCAGGGCTTTGTCCAGACCTGTATCTAACCTGAACTTGTTTCTTATGTTGGGAATAAGTCCTTCAGCTTAAACCTAGTAGTTCCCTGGAACTACTGGTAACCAACCTGTTCTTTGAATTCATCTAGAGAACACCTTCAGTGAACTTCCTAGCTGTCCCCTCTTCTGAGATTGTTCCACTGCCCTTCATGGGCAGATTCTTAATCCCTTTTCTGCCATCTGTAATGGCAACTCAACTTTATTGCCCTTCCATAAAGCTTTCTTTACTTTCCCACTCCATTGGTAATTATCATTTCCTTAAACTCCCTCTAGTCCTTTGTTTTTACTATCTGATTGGCTTAAAATAGTACTTAGGATACAACCATTTTGTTTGTGGTTTTTTTTTTAAGGCAATTGGGGTTAAATGACTTGCCCAAGGTCACACAGCTAGTAAGTGCCAAGTGTTTGCTCTGAGGTCAGACTTGAGCTTAGGTTCTCCTGACTTCAGGGCTGGTGCTCTATCCACTTTGCTACCTAGCTGCCCCCAGGATACAACCATTTTGGAGAGCAATCTAGAATTATGCCCAAAGAGTTATTAAACTGTCTATACCCTTTGACCCAACAATATCACTTACTGGGTCTATTTCCAAAGATTGGAGAAAAAGGAGAAGCACCTGTATGTTCCAGAATGTTTAGAGCAGCTCTCTTTGTGGTAGCAAAGAACTGGAAATTGCAGGGATGCCCATCAATTGGGGAATAGTCAAGCAAGCTGTGGTATAGGATCATGATGGAATACTACTATGCTAAAAGAAATGATGGGCTCAACAATCTTAGAAAAACATGGAAAGACTTACATGAAATAATGAAAAGCAAAATTAACAGAGCCAAGAGAACATTATACAGTGATAGCAATACTGTTTTAAGAATGACTTTGAACGAATAAGACATTTTGACTATTATAAATACCCAAATTATCAATAAAGGACATATGAAGACGCTGAGTCTAGAGAAAGAGCTGATAAATAGAAATATGTATAGAATAATTTTACATACATATACCTATTTGTCTAATGCCAACCATCTCTGGGGGGGAGGGCAGAAAAAAAGGGGGAAAAAGAAATTTACGTGATAACTTTATTATAAATTTAAATGGAATAGCAAGTTGCACATAATAGTTCACAGTTTCTTATGCAATCTCCTTTTTTATTTTACTGTGTTATGGAAATGCATATTTTATTCCATAAATTAAAAACAAAATAAATTTTTTTGAAATAGTACTTATATACACAATATCCCTGTTATCTTATCCCTTTACTAAGTTATGGGCAGGGACCAATTCTTATCTAACTTTTTTATCTCCCTATCACCTAAAACAATATTCTGCACACAATATTGCCTATTAAATGTGTGTTATATACTGTATATTTGGGACATATTCCCTTGAGGTTCTTGGACTTCCCTCTTTGTCTTTCCCTGACCTTTGCCAGAGTAAATAGACTGGTATGGAAGAGGAAAAATATGGGGTAGAACTATGCAGTTAGGGACAATTTTGCCTCTTTGGGTGGAATGATGAAGGGAAGGGGTAGAGATTTGGGTGCTGGTGCCCTATGGCCATCCCCAAAATTCAGATACAAGGGTCATTTCTCCTGGAATCTTAAGGGAGATGCTGGAGGGGCATTGGTGAAAGTAGGAAGGTCCCTGTAGTTCTCCTCCTGTTGCTATTCCTTCATGCCTTCAGAGCGAAGCTATCTTTGAAACAGGGGGCCAGATTCAGGGGCAGCCTCTAGCTGGGTTTTATCTATTTGACTGTAAGTAAATTCCACATCCCAAACTGGGCTGCCCAACTGTGAATAGCCTGGAAAAAGGTACCAGATCTCTCTGCCCACTTGCAAACTGGAGAAGCATTCCCAGGTCTTTCTCTTCTCTTTACCAGCCTGGAGTCCAGTATCTGTGGTCATTGGTATTAGATCCAAGCTTCCTCCAATTTAAGTTCTTCAGAGTGAGGAAGGAGGCATTGAGCCTCCTGGTGCTGCTTGCAATGAGTCCTCAGATTTATGTTCATTTTTTCCTGCTGATGTAAGTGTTGCCCCCACCTGTTAGGCCTCATGCCCTCTGTACCTATTAACTCATGTTAGGGCAAGAGTTCCTGGTGAGATTTTTGGAGACTGCCTCTCCAGGCTTTTCTTTACCTGCAGTACCTATTGAAGATAACACTATAATGAAGTGAAATAGTTTATGTCTTCCCCTTTCTTCTCCTTGCTCCCTACAGGGAATTTGAGCCTTTGTTGAAGTCACATGTTGCCATCAAGAAGGTCCCTTTTGTGGATGAAGATGGAAATCTGGTAAAGCCACTCAAACCGAATGGTATAAAGATGGAGAAGTTCGTGTTTGATGTATTCCAATTCTCAAAGTTAGTGGCAGAAATGAATATTTCCCTTCTCAGCCCTCCATTCCCTGACTATCTCTCCCTTGGTTGAGTCAAAGTTTCCATGACTAGTACTTCCTAGGGCACTAGGAAATTTGGGATTATTGTGTGTGTGTGTTGTATTGGAGGAAGGAGGAAAGGAGTGGAGGCTCAGGACACAGTGGAAAGAGCCTTGGATTTGAAGCCAGAGGACTCGAGTTCAAATTTTAGCTCTGCCAATTGACACCTATGTGACTACAGACAGTAATTTCTCTGGGCCTCAGTTTCCTTTATTTGTGAGATGAGCAAGTTATACTAGATTAATTCTAAGCTTCCTCTTAGCCCTAAAATGTATGGTCCATGTCCGCAGGTAGCAGGTTTCCAGAGGGGTCCAGGCTGAGGTCAGGCAAGCTCACCACACCCAATCTCCTCATTAAGGAGTCAGTGTAGAAATGCTTCACATTTCTCCAAAAGCACTAGGGGAAAAAGGGTGCTGGAACATTAAAAATGGTAAGGAGATCATGATAAATAAGCAGCCTCAGACCCTAAGAGTAGGTAGCTGTTTTTAGGGAGAGAGGATGATATGACAGCCAGTGAGTTTAAGTGGCATTGCCCTTCAGAGTCATAAATAGAAGAAGATGCAGGTGTTTCAAGTGGCCCTCTGCTCCCTTGCTCCTTTCTCACTGCTGAGTTTACACACCTGGTGTTTTTTTTCTTTACTGTTTTTGGAGAAAGAGATGTAGAACTATAAAACCCCGACAGACCCATTGTAGTAGGTTTGACATCAGAGTCTAACCAGAGTATCCTTTCGGTCCCCCTTGCTTCCCACCTCTCCCTCATTCCCCACAGTACTCCCTGCACACATGACAGGGGCTTCATTTCATGCCATCTCTTTTGCCACTAGAAACTTTGTTGCATTTGAAGTCCTGAGGGAAGAGGAATTCTCTCCCCTAAAAAACTCGGACACAGCAAACAAAGACAACCCCACTACTGCCCGGCAGGCCCTCCTAGCTCAGCACTACCGTTGGGCTGTGCAGGCTGGTGCCCACTTCGTGGATGAAAATGGAGTCAGGATCCCAGAGCAGCCCAGGTGAGCATCCCATGAGCACAGCCCTGCCCCAAAGGCTGGTGTTTCCTTTTGCCAACTTCCTCTCCCTGGTATGCCCCCCTCATAGAGAGCCAGCACTCTAGTGCTCCTCATACGTGTTCCCTCCGTCCTATCCAATTCAGCAAACATGGAGTAAGGGCCTATTATGTACAAAGGTCCGTGTTAGAAACTTGGAATGTGAAGACAAAAATGAAGAAGTCATGCCCTCAGAAAGCTTACATTCTCTTTCGGAGAGGTGGGGAGGGGTGGCACTACTCCATGTGCACATAGGAATATGATCCAGGGTAACGAGCAAAGGGGACAAAGGAAAGAGTGCACACAGGGGCAGCTAGGTGGTGCAGTGGATAGAGCTCCAGCCTTGGAGTCAGGAAGGACCTGAGTTCAAATCTGGCCTCAAACACTTGATGCTTACTAGCTGTGTGACCCTGGGCAAGTCACTTAACCCCAACTGCCTCACAAAAAAAAAAAAGAAAGAGTACACACAGTACTCTAGTTTCTCCTGTTTGTCTTCTTTGCTGGATCATCATCCTCAGCCTCCTTATGAGGTCCCCAAGACTTTTCCCTGTACCCCCCTCTTCTCTTTCCTCTCTATGTACTTTCTGGATCTCATTTGCTTCCATGGAGGTTTAATGACAAACTCTGCCCAGATGATTCCCAAATCAAGATGCCCATTTTTTTCAAAAATGGCATTTATTTTTTGTTACATTTTTAAGTTCCAAACCATCTCCCCCTCCCTCCCAACCCTGCACTAGAGAAGGCCACCATTTGACATAGAGGGTGGGTGTGGGTATGGGTGTATGGAACCATACTATGAATACTTCCATTTATCGGTTCTTTCTTTGGAGACAGCTAGGTGGTGCTAGTGGGTAGAGTGCCTCACACTAACTGTGTGACCCTGGGCAAGTCATTTAATCCTGTCTGCCTCATTTTCTTCATCTGTAAAATGAACTAGAAAAGGAAATGGTAAACCACTCCAGTATCTTTGCCAAGAAAACCCCAAAAGGGGTCATGAAGAGTCAGACACAACTTAAACGACTGAACAACAACAACAAATTCCCAGAAGGTGGACAGAGAGCGTCTTCCTTCATAAGTCCTTTGTAGTTGATTTGAATATTTGTAATACTCTGAATAGCATACATGTTCACAATTATTCTTTGAACAATATTGCTATTACTGTATACAACGTTCTCTTAGTTCTGCTCATTTTACTCTGTTATTTCATGCAAGTCTTTCTGTTTTTCTGAAATCAACCTGTTCATCATTTCTTACAGCACAAAGATACCCATTCTGAACTTTTCCCCATGACTTTAGACTTGCTGTACATCTCAAACCTGGATATCCCATCCACATCTCAAAGGCAGCATGTCCACAATGGAACCTATTATTCCCCTCCCCACCCCTTCCCCTTCTAAGTCTTCCCTTGGTCTAAACTGCTTCTTTTTTTTTTTTACCTAATGATACTGCAGTTTTAGTCATCCAGTCATAACCTTGGCATCATCCTAGACTCTTCCTTCTCTTTCACCATTCCCTACCCAATCTGGGGCTCGCTTCTGTTAATTCTGTTATTGCTCCTACATCTGTCCTTTTCTCTCAATTCATAGGACCCCTACCCTGTCAGCTCCTACCTGGCCTCCAATACTCTCCTAATTGGTCTCCCTACTTCTCATCTCTTCCCTCTTCAGTCTGTCCTCCACACAGCTACCAAATAACCTTCCTCTCTTCAAAAACATTTCCGCAAATACCTCTCATCCCCAGGAGAAAATACAACTCCACAGCCTGGCATTTAAGGCCCACTTTTCTGGCCTTATTTCACATTTCTTCCTTTCACATACTTTATGTTCCAACCACACTTGACTAGTCATAGAAAATTCCTGGAGGGCAGAACAGAGACTGTTTTGTTTTCATCTTTATATTTTTAGGGTCTAGCATAGTTCCTTGGGCAGTCAGAGCTTAATAAATGTTTGTTGAATTAAATTGAGTTCAATTGAAGAGTTCACCTAACTTCTCTCATTGAGTTGAGAGAGCCCTAACAGCTGGCAGAATGGGAAATCTAAGCAGAGGCGGCGGCACCGGCACCTGAGTCAAAACTGAATCAATATAAAGATTTAGCAAGGGGGAGTTGAGGAGAGTGTTTCAGGCATAAGTGACTGTGTAAGCTTGAGAGGTAGAAAATAGCATTTTGAGTTCACACAGATAGAATGTTAGGTAGAATGTGACATTTAGACAAAATGTTCTAATAACATTTTGGGGAGGAAAACAAGACATCTGGAGACAAAATCAGGGAATGATTTATGGAGCAAGTGGCATCTGAACTGAACCTTGTAGGCTAGAGAAGGATTTAAAACAGGGCTTCTTAATCTTGGGTCTGTGGATAGATTGCAGGGGCTCCATGCACTTGGATGGGAAAAAAAATTATATTTCAACATCATTAATTTCCTTTGCAACCTTATTTATTTTGTTTTGTTCCTTTAAAAGCATTATTCTAAGAAGGAGTCCGTAGGCTTTACCAGACTGCCAAGGGAGTCTGTGACACACACATAAGGATAATAGCCCTTAATTTAAAGAGAAATCAGAAGGGAGTATTTTGTTTTTAATTATGGAAGGTAGCCAGTTATGCTCGAAGTAGGGAGACAGTAAAACAAGTTTAGGAAGCATCTAGTAGTACAGTTTGCCTGAAAATTGTATGCATGAAGTATATGAAGGGGAATGGTATGAAATTAGGTTGGAAAGGTAGGTAGGTTAGAGCCAGGTCATTGAAAGCCTTAAATGTCAGGTCTCAGGGAGTTTGTAAGTTATTCTGGAGGCCAGAGGGAACCACCAAAGGCTGTGGAGCAGGGGTATGATGTGACCACACCTATGCTTTAGGAAGATTATGTTGGCAGCCTTATGAAGGATGGCTTGCAAAGGGAAAGACTAGAGGCTAGGAAACCTACATAGCAGTTTTGCTGATGTACTTGCCCCTTTCTAATCAGCTATTTTTTCCAATGTGTCTCCCCCCCTTTTTTTAAAGGCAGTTGTGGTTAAGTGACTTGCCCAGGGTCACACAGCTAGTAAGTGTCAAGTATTTGGTCTGAGGCCAGATTTGAGCTCAGGTCCTCCTGACTCCAGGGCCAGTGCTCTATCCACTGCGCCACCTAGCTGCCCCATCTCCCCACTTTCTAAGCAGCTGTTATTCATCCTAGTTGGCTGTCACCCACGTATTCTCCTTTCATCGTAGACAACTGCTATCCTTCCTCCACTTATTCTAAATAACATTTATGCTGGTCTGATATAATGTTCCCTTCCCTCCCCCTGCCAATGTCAAAAGCTGTTGCTAGGAGAAAGAGGTTGGCCCCCATCATCCCACTGTTGTCTGTGGTCTCTTGACAGGTGCCTATATTAAACCACCCTTGTGTCTAGTGAACCAGAAATAGTAAGACCTTTGCTCCTAGTCGGTTGTCCTAGTTGCTTTAGCAATCCATGGAAGTGGGAGGACCGGGCTTGGATGGAGGGGATCTGAGCAGTGCCATATGGTATTTGTAGAAAAGAGCTTAGACTTTTTCTTCCTGGCTGAACTGGGAGAGATGGTTGAAAGTTTCAGAGAAGCAGATTTAGGCTCCAAGTAAGGAAATGCTTCATAATAATGTCATGCTGAAGGGAAATGAGCTAGCTACCTTGGGAGGCAGTGGGTTCCAGGTCAGTGGAGGTGTTTAAGTAGAAACTGTCTAATCACTTGTCAGGGGACTGGTAGAAGGGAATTCCTGTTCAACTATGGGCCTATTAGAGTACTTCTAAGGATGATTATGAAGATCTCTCCCCATTACAGATGAACAGCTTTTGGACTGTCTAATGAGCCTGTGAGATCTGCTCAGAATACCAGCAGGAGACAGGCTCTTAGAAGCCCTCATCCATATATTAATAAACTCTGAAACACGAACTGAGTGATGATATTCCAAAGATGACTTGGGTGGTTTCATTTTTCTGAACCAGAAAAGGAAAGGAAATTAGATGTCTTTTTCTACTCCTCATTGACATAAACTGCTGAAATCTGAATGTTCCCAAAGCCAGGCTTTTGAAGCCTTTATAATGTGAATATTTTACAGCCCAAAGCAAGAACTTTTCTGTGGGTGGAAGGAGAGTTTAGGTTCATGATGCTGAAGAAAACTGCTGTAGGTCATGTCTGGTCTATGTAATCTGAGCCCCCAGAGAAGGCTAGGCCTCAGCCCTAGGAGTGACAGCCCTACTAAGGAGGAGCTGTATACTAAGCAGATGCTAATACATGTTTTTCTTTTACAGTACTCTGGGAACTGAAAACCCTCCTGTCCTTTGTGAGATTTCTCCATTAGTGTCCTATTTTGGGGAGGTGAGAGTCTTTTTCTCAGTTTCAGGGCCTTGTTGGGTTGGAGCTGGCACCCCTGGAAACTAAGATGAAGGATGTACGTGTTAGAACCAAATGCTGCCTTTAACTGACATTGGGCAGAATTTGCTCTCAGCTGCATCTGTTTACCAATCTGAACCATGGGCCCTAGAGTTCCTGAGGACATTCTCAGGACATGGTGGCATAGGGAGATTATTTCTGCATGGGACATAGGCTGGTTCTAGGATCTGAACAAGATCTGTGCCAGGCTTTGGATTTTTCTTCTTTTGTTGAATGGCAAAATGACCCTTAATATTATCTGCTATATGAAATGTGGCCTCCCTTCCATGACCTTTGAACAAAATTTTTTTTTGCTCTATTTTCTGAACTCCATGGTGTCCTGGTTTCCCTAAGAGATAATCTTGAGTTTGGTTTCTGACTTTTGCCCTAGACACACATACAGCCTTGCAATGCTTGGAAGGATGTCAAAAAGAGGATGTTGTTAGAGGACTTTGTAGACTTTGGCTTCAGGTCCTTTACATTTATGCCATTGGTGTCTTACTAGGTTCTAGTTCCTATTCGGTGACTACTATATTTCACCATGAACAAATGTCTTCCTCTCCCTGAGCCTGAGCCTCAGTTTTTCATTTGTAAAATAAGAAGGTTGGGCTAGATGATCCCCAAAGCCCCTTCCAGCTGGGACAGTCTGTGTATGATGACATCAGGCTCGGCTTCAGGCCTCCTGTTTTCACAGAGAGCTCTTCCTTTCTCTTGAGGTATCCTCTTTCAAGCCTCCCCAGGAGAGCGGGGTTGGAAGTGGCCTGGTTATTCTTTCTGTGGAGTAGTAGTAGAGAAAGAGGACAGTGGGATCCAATCTGAAGTCAGTGTGTGTCAAAAAAAATTGCTGCCTAAATCCCAGTAGCTTCCCCTCATCTCCTTGCTCTCTTCTTTGGGCTATATGAGATGTTTCAGACAATATTCTATGAAGTATTCCTGAGATTAGCCAATCACACGTGTGGACACATCTCTGGAGGAGGAAGAGACGTTTCTTTACTATTGTTTTTGCAGGGTCTGGAAGTATACCTGAAGGATGAGGAAATCTGTTCACCTTTTATACTTGATGAAAACAAGGCAAAGCTGCTGGAAAAGGCTTGATTCGTTTCAAGACCAAATCAAATCTGTCCTTGGGTCCACCGGCATGAAATTGGTTTTTGATTTGAATAAGACAAATATTTCTGGAAGCAGTGCTGCTCAGCCTTGGGTACTAGACTTTAGTGGGAAATATATTTATGATGAAATATAAATGCTAAAATTTATTTTGCCAAGTATAGTTGGCTTCTATCACCTAGGGCTGATCATTTGAGTCCTGTACACAGTACAGCTTTTCTTGTTGAAATGTGGAATGAGTATTATAAAGCTAAAAATATTATTCCTCTCTCATTCCTGCCTCCTTTTCTCCCAGAGGCTAAAATCTTGCTCTGCTGATCAATTCTGTTGACATTTTTTGTATTTCTGAATTTTTGCTAAATTTCTTCAGGCAATCAATGAAGCAGATCCAGGCTGCTAAGAAAGTACTGGGTCCTAAAGGCAAAATGATGCTGTATGATGTTATGACATTGTTGTTAATCATCGTACCATCGCAGTGGAACACTAGCCCAGAGGCTGCCCCCTGTCCTTGTTCTGGGTTGCAGATTAATTTCATTTGGGTGCATTTTCCCCTGGCTCATGGTGCCTTGTGGGCCAACAGGCCTTCCACTTCCTGTTTATCTACAAACCTAGGTCAAATGGGAAGACAGCTGCTATTGCCCTGGCTTTAGTTCTCCGCCCAGAAGGAAACTGTCTGGAGAATTGAGTTAGAAAGGCCAGTGTCTAGTGAGGGCTCCCACTGCCTAGAGGCCCCCTGCAGCTTTGTAATAGCTAGGTTTATAAGACCTTCTTAGAAATTGAGAAGCACCTTGAGTTGTGAAACAATAGACTGGGTGGATCTTTCTGGGCCTCAGTGAGCAGGGCTCTGAGCGCTGGAGCTACTTTGTATCTGGCCTTGTGACCCTGGGCAAATTGCTTGGTATGTTTGTGTTCTGCCTTCTTCCCCTCTAAGTAGGGGATGGTGCTATTTACTACCTCTTGGCGCTGTTGTGACGAATTAAACAGAGAATAAGCCTTCTACAAAGTGTGCTATTTAATTACCCTTTCCATTTTTTCTTTGCTAAACCTTAGGTATTTTGTTCAGTGGCTGATGCCTGCTCAGTGCCTTAGGCTCATGGAGACAGGAGCTAATTACCATCTTTCCCTTTTCTAATCAACCCAGTGGAAGGAAATCAGCATGAATGGAGCAGGTCTTGACTCTAGAGCCTGGTGTGAAAGGGATAGATGAAGGCTCAGCCTAGGCACAGGGAGGCAGACAGTATTGGGAAGGATTAAAGCCCTGTGTGACAAGCTTTGGAAAGCTACGGAATTTTCAAAATTTTCCTCCCTATAACCCCAAGCAAGCCAGGCCTCACTGGCAATGAAGCTTCCAAGGAGGCTGGCTACTCTGCAGTTCCAGTAGAGAGATTTCTCTTTAGAACCCTGGGGCCTGCTAGGGAAAGGGGAAGTCCCTGTGCTCTCTATGCCTGAGGTAGAAGGTCAGATGGAGTTGGTTAGCCTGGAGCACCCGCAGGACATGGGAATGTACTCTGGATCATAGCTACTGTTGGAGCATTCTGGAGAAGGTTTGTTTTTTTAAAAAAATAAGCTTTAATGACAACAAACTTCCACCTTCCAAATAACTGCATGTATCTTTTTCTATATAAATGTATAAATTCAGTCAGTTTCCTGTTATCAACTATGAATCTTTTTGAAAAAAATGTTTTATTCATACATTTTGTTTTTCCATCACAGCCAACTATGAATTTTAAGAAGCAGATTGCTTTGTCTTTTGTTTTAACTCTGAATATGCCAGACTTTGATAATAAAGACCGTGCAATTATCCTGTCTGTTGTTTTTGTACTAGAACATAATAGGTGGTGATAGAGAACCTATGGCTGTGGAATTCTCAGTTCTTCAGTTAGGTGTGCCTTCTTTGTTTTGTTGCTTTATTCTGCTGGATAAACTGCTGTTCCTTCCAGGATCCAGGGCTCTATGTCAAATCAAAGGCAGTAGGACAAAGAGAGCCAAACATACCACATGTGGCATCAGTTGGGCAGAGTGTGAGCTTTACCAAGCTGTAATCATTGATCAGTAATGTAGCTGGAAGAAACCTTTCCAGTATCTGTCCATTACCTCTGCCTCACGTCAGAACTGCACTCAAACCTCTTAATGCACAGCTCTCTCTTAATACCACTTCACATCTGTCTCTTAATTCAGCTCACTTCTGAACCACGGTTTCCCACAGCAACCAGTTCCAGTTACCTACCTAACCACAGTGTTTTAGAGTGGCTTTGACAGAGAACAGTGGTATAATAGGATGACTCAGAGAACAGCAGAGACAAATTAATCTGCTTACTGGAGGAAAAGGTCAAAGACCTACAAGAATCCTGTCTAGATGGGAAAGTAGGTCAAAACAAAGAAAAGAGCTTTTTTGATTGAAATTAATCTGAACCAGTGTGCTAAAATGTAATCACAAAAGGCAAAAACAAAGATAACAGGAATAAGGTAAAATGGTAGGATTTTGTAAGGTCTGAGGAACAGTCTAGGATAGTTCTTAGAAAAGGACTTTGGGGAAGTTGTGATGTGGTAGGGAAAGCTCCATATTTGGAGTAAGAACACTTGATTTTTTTTTTTTAGGCAATTGGGGTTAAATGATTTGCCCAGGGTCACACAGCTAGTAAGTGTCAAGTATTTGGTCTGAGGCCGGATTTGAACTCAAGTCCTCCTGACTTCAGGGCCAGTGCTCTATCCACTGTGCCACCTAGCTGCCCCAAGAACACTTGATTTTGATTCTCAGGTCTGTTTCTTAACTAGCTGTATGAACGTGGTAAGTCATTTAGCCTTTGAGTTTCAGGTATTTCATCTGTAAAATGTGTTTAATAATACCTGCCCCTGCAGATTGGTGGAGGAGGTAGTTAGAAGCAAAACACTTTTGAGGAGGGACAGAATGAATGAAAGGAGAGAGAATAGAATAAAAGGTGGGGGGATAGGATGGTGGGAAATACAGTTAGCAATAGTAACTGAAAAAAAATCGTAAAGTAAGTTTCTCTGACAAAGGCCTCGTTTCTCAAACATAGAGAACTGGGTCAAATTTATAAAAATAAGAACCATTCCCCAATTGAAAAATGATCAAAAGACATAATCCGTTTTCAGATGAAGTAATCAAAGCTATCCATAGCCACATGAAAAAATATTCTAACTCACTACTGAGTGGAGAAATGCAAATTAAAACAATTCTGAGGTACTACTTCTCTCTATTAGATTGGACAAATGTTGGAGGGGATGTGGGAAAAATGAGACATTAATGCATTGTTGGTGGAGCTGTGAACTGATTCAACCATTCTGTAGAGCAATTTGGAACTATGCCCAAAGGTCATAGCAATACCACTACTAGGTCTGTATCCCAAAGGAGATAAAAATCTGTACAAAAAGATTTATAGCAACTCTTTTCTGGGGGTAAAGAATTAGAAAGCGAGGTGATGCCCATCAATTGGGGAATGGCTGAACAAACTGTGCTGTGTGATGGTGATGGAACACTATTGTACTGTAACAAATTTTTGATAAGCAAGATGCTCTCAGAAAAACCTGGAAAGACTTGCATGAGCTGATGCAAACTGAAATGTACTGTGTGTAAAGTAACAGCAATATCGTAAGATGATCAGCTATGAATGACTTCTCAGCAATATAATGATCCAAGACAACACTGAAGGACTTATGTTGAAAAATGCTATCCATCCCCAGAGAAAGAGCTGATGGTGTCTGAATACAGATTGAAGCACATTTTTTTAAACTTTATTTTTCCTGAGTTTTTTTTGGTCTGTTTGCCACAGAATGACTTACATGGAAATGTGTTTTGTATGACTATACATGTATATATCAAATTGCCTTTTCAATGAGGGAGAGTGGGGAGAGAGGAAGGGAGAGAATTTGGAATCCAAAGTTTTAAAAACAATGTTAAAATTGTTTTTACGTGTAACTGGGGAAAAATAAAATACTACTACAAAAAAAATCAAAAAAATACCTGCCATGAGTATTCTACAGGGTTCTCTTGTGAGTCAAATGAGATAATTTGTGTAAAGCACTTTGTAAACAGTGAAGTGCTATGTAAATGGCAATTTACCACTTTTATTATTATCACTAAGAGGGCTACTAGTTGGCGCAATGGATAGAACCCCTGGCCTGGAATCAGTGGGACCTGGGTTCAAATTGAGCCTCAGACTCTTAGCTGTTTGACCCTGGGCAAGTCACTTAGCCCTGTTTGCCTCAGTTCCTCATCTGTAAAATGAACTGGAAAGAGAAATGGCAACCCCCTCTAGTGTCTTTGTCAAGAGAACCCCAAATGGAGTCATGGAGAGTTAGTCACAACTGAAATGACTCATCAATGACTACAGCAACAAGAAGGCAAATTGTAGGTGTGATCCCAGCACTGTTCTGGGAGAGAGGTGCTTGAGCAAGATAGTCAAATAGTCCCAGGAAGTATGCTTGGACCATGGGAGATGATGGCTATGGCACTATACCATGGTCCTGGGTACATACAGTCCCATATGATTCTTAGCTGGACAGTGGTTTATGATGTTTTAATGTAACATGAAAATATTACTTTAAATCATCATATTCCCTGATTCCAAACTTACCAAGTGGTCTTTATGACATTAATTTGGTTTCACAGGTAGGTCTTCTTACCTCACAGGAAGGGGAGCCTTTTGGGTAGCTATAGTGCTTGTCGTAGGAGTACCCCCAAACTGGATCTGGTCCAATATTAGAGGCCATGTCAAATGATCACTCTCTTTGGGTTTCTAGTTGTTCACTCCATTCTAACTTGTCTAGGTTTCCACAGAGGGAGGCAAAAGCAGCCCCCAAATTCCATAGAAACATTCAAGATAACTAAGTAACAGGTACAAGAAGGTATTTATTAACACTCCACAAAGAAAAAGCAGACAATTCAGAGGAGTTCTGAATTTTTGTTTACAGGCTCCATGAAACAGTAAAATATATGCATCTCCCTCTTTGGTGGGTAAAAGTCCTTTAACTCATAGCAGTGCCCTGTTGTCTGGATTTTCCTTGTAAGGGATGTAAACTCGGTATTGCTGAGCAGCTAATTTCTAGACCCACACTATTCAAAAAACACATGATAATGACACATGGCCAGGTCTAGATCCCTTGCTCTCCCACATATCACGGCTTTTGTTCCATGGAGTTGCTCCCTTCAGTCCCATGGACCACAGACATGATCCCATTCTCATAGCTGGAGACACAGTGCTGAGGAAATTCACCTTTCAGTAGAAGGCCAGATACTTAAATTCTTACACTTGGGGTAGCTCGTAAGGTATCCCTCATGGCTGTTGCTGTCTAAGAAATATACTTTCTTTTGCTAGAAGACTACATTCCAAATTTTCTTCAGTTAGAAGGCTGGCTGGATTTGGGGACTCAATTTGAGGCCTATGCTAGAGAGGCAACTTTCACAAATTTGCCGCCTGTCAATGTTCCTTTATCCACAACACATATGTAGTTGAGAGATTGTATACTGCCTCTTTTAAGTCTGGGGCCAGGAATTTGACCTATCCTGAGAGAGTAATTCCACACAATGTGGGTGAGCACTTGACCGCCTCTGCCATGTTCCTCTAGCAACTCTTGATACTTCACTACTGTCTAGTATGTTATCCTCTGGTAGTAACTCTCGTACTAGGGGTTGGGGAAAAGGTCTGTTAGGCCCTGGGGTTCAGGAATTCTCTTGGGCCACGATAGACTTAGCTTGAGCACATTTAGTTTGCTGTGGACTTGTGCCCCACAATGGCTCTGGAATGGAGGTGGGAGGGGAGGAATCTCACCCCCTTCCCACAATGCTCCAGAAGAAAGGCAAAAGGGAAAATATCTGTTGGCTTCTTTTTATAGGCGAGCATTAAAAAAATATTTCTCCTAGCCTGTCTCAATACTGAGTACCATCCTCTGGGCAATTTTAATCACTGAAACCTTCTCCAGGAGGTGCCAAAGGGACACAGTAGCTCCACAGGAGGTGATAATCATGGCCTAAGCAAAGGTTCACCTCTCTACAAGCTCATCAAGTTGATTAGAGAAGTCACTTGATCAATCCCCAATATTAATCAACCAAAGGCCACAATTAGTTCAAAGGCTCTTAATAAAATGGTATACAAAGACAAATAGCAATTAAACTTTTCTGCATAAACCTGCGGCATATTTTTCCACAAATATAGATGCCATAAGTGGGAAGCATGACTATTTGAATATGAGGCCAGAGACCAAAGATGGCAGAAATAGACACATAGGGAACCTGTGGCCAGGGTACACAATGTGGAAGGGCAACTCATCTCAGATATTGTAGGACTAGAAATGTATTCTGGTGATGTCATCATCTTACTCTCACTAGCACACTGTCCATGGTAGCTACCACATCTCACTGCTGCTCCTTACCTCTTAATGCTGGTTTCTCTATCTCTCTGTCTCCTATTAAAAGAAATTTTAATGATATTTTGGGTTTTATATCCCTTTAAATTCCGAATATATCCCTCTTCCTCCCCTACCCAGAGGTCTATCTTTTTGTAACAGGTAAGATCTAAAGATAACAATAATAATAATAAAAAATAAAAGAAAAGAATAAGATATAAAGATAATAACCCAAGCCATCCACCTGGTCTGACAGTATACGCAATATTCCACACCCATAGAACCCCTGTCCCATATCTTTTTTTTTTATTTTGACAAGCTGTAGTATTTATTACATTGTAAATTTCATAACAAAAATATACATGTAATATATAAGTATATACGTGCATATATATGTATATCCCATATCTTAAAGATGGAGATGCATTTCCTTATCTC